TATGCCATTAGCAACTATACACCCTAAGAAGTACACTTTAGCATACTTTTAAAGCGAGCATCTGCTGACTAGCATTTTATGAATCACCAAGGAGCATAGATGACCTGTGGATGAGTAAATTAAGAGCAAATTTCATTTTTGGGAGAACTATTACTTTAAGTGCACTTCTTTTTCACAAGGGCTGGCATGGCAGTGTGTAGAGAATCCTGTTTTGGCCTTAAGCGTATGTAGCTTGGTCAAACTAAGTTTGCTTCAAAAGAATGGAAAATCTTGGTTTATGCTTCTTTATGCCAGGTTATCTTGAAACATCCAGCTAACTAACCAAGCCACATTTGAAGAAAGAGACCTTGGACTGAAGATGCATGTGAGAGTCCAAAATGAACACAAAGCCACAGCTAGTTGTGCATCAGCTCTGTGTTCGCATTCCCTGCTGGGACGAGTGAAAGTCAGCTTATTAGCATAGAAGATTCATACCATGAGGAATCCAAGTGTCCTTTATTTTTTTAAGCAAGTTCACTGAAGTGTCAAACATGCTCGCAGAATGAAAAACATGCATGTATATATCTTAGAAAATTATGTTGTTTATATATTAAATATATTTATATATAATATAAGTTATATGAAAATAAACATATACATGTAAATGCATGTAAATATTTTCAAAATATATACTGCGTGTGTGTATTTATATATAGATAATAAATACACACATATATTATGTAAACATTTTGAATGTGATTATTAATCGTTTGACAGCACTATATATATATATATATATATACATATATCATATTTGGTAATTTTACAGTTCAGAGGACACACAGTAAATTTCAATATTAACATCTTGCAAACGTATTACCTCGCAAAAATCTAAATAAAGGTTGCTCAATATATTAAAGTTTACTCAGAAGCCAATGTATGACTTTACTTAATTTAAATATACTAAGTAACCTTAACTAGAATTTTATTTTTCTTGAAATATGTATGTTGAGTCAAGTAAAGTTAATGTGCAATTTACACAACTTGGGGTCATGAGGTGTCTCTTTACAAAATAATCTGACTTATTATCGCCACAATTTTTTACCCAGGAACAACTGACTCTTATACTGTGCATGGAAAAACAGTTTGCAAATGAATTTTTACACTTGTGTCCTATGTCAGAGCCGTTTTATTTACGAAAGACTCTGGCAAAGCAAGATGGCATCCGACTGAAAAAGACACAGACCCAGCAGTCAACACCAGTGCTAAGAACTTAGTAAAAAGCAGCAATTCTCACGTAGCCTATATGTGTGACATCATGCGTTTGCAGAGCATTTATCTCTAGAATGTTGAGTTGAGTCTTAATCAATCCCAACCTAATTCCAGATTGACAGTCTCCAGAGCTTTCTGCTGCTCGAGTCTCACTCCTAAATAAGGAACCACAGACTCTGGGCTAATGAGCCTGGCGCAGCTCCAGGGCTAATGGGAGGATATACAGTATCAGAGCATCGTCAGAATAAATGCAAGGGTTTGTACTGTAGTTTATGTCAACTTGCTCACGCTCACTGCGTATGTGAGTTAAATAAACAAATGGAGTAAATGGAGATTAAATGTTTAGGGTTTCATCATAAGGCAGTGTAATATAGTCTGTTTATGTTAAGGAGTCGTTTCCTTTCCAGATTTTGGGAAAATTCACTTAAATACTTGATTTATTCAACCACATGAAATAATGAAATTAATTCAGACCAGTTCAAAGAAAAAAAAAAAAAAAGCTTTAACGATTAATTTTCTTAGACAGGGTGGATTGTTTGGGAAAATATCACATTTATAAACTTTTATGAAGATTTTTTTTGAAGTCTCTGAAATCACCATTGACTTGCTGGTCAAGAAACATTTCTGATTGTTATCAACATTCTTAAAAATAAAGTTGCTTCACAGCGATGCCATAGAAGAACCATTTTTGGTTCCACAAAGAACCTTTCAGTCAAAGATTCTTTAAAGAACCATCTCTTTCTTACCGTTTTATAATCTGAAGAACCTTCTTTCGCCACAAAGAACCTTTTGTGAAACAGAAAGGTTCTTCAGATGTTAAAGGTTCTTTATGGAACCATTTAGACAAAAAAGGTTCTTCTATGGCATCGTGAAGCACTTTTATTTTTAAGAGTGAATGTTGAAAACTGTTGTGCTGCTTCATGTTTTTGTGGAAACTGTAAGACACTGAATATAAATGCTGTTCATTTGAACTCTATTTATCAAAGAATCTTTAAAATCACACTTAAGCAGCAAAAACTAATTTCAGCAATGATAACAATAAGAATAATTATTAATAACTCAGTGCCAATAAAACTGAGCAGCAAATCAGCATATTAGAATGATTTCTGAAGGATCATGTGACACTGAAGAGTAATGATGCTGAAAATTCAACTTTGATCACAGGAATCAATTACATTTTAACAGATATTCACATAGTAAAACAGTTATTTAAAATACTGTTCTTACTGTACTTTTGAACAAATAAATGCAGCCTTATATAAGACTATGTATTCAACTTGTCTGAATCAAAAAAGAATGCAATTTATCAAAAAAACGCTAGCGCACAATCACTTGTCACTTAAATAATTTATTTACCACTAGAGCACCACAACAGTAATGTGTTACAATACATCATAGTGGGTCAACAATATCAACATCATCATCATCATCATAGACAACAATAACAATAAACAGCTCTAGTGTGACAATGCTGGTGTCTCCTTCCGCTTCCTGTGTCTTCAGGAAGTCTACTGGCATTCTTGCCCTAATACAAATAAAATAAGTGTCACCTAAAAATCTTGGACATGAATGGACGTTGCTCTTTTAATCTGATCTGCCACCAGATTCTCTCTAACACTGGTTAAGATAAGGACTAGTTAAAAGGGGAACCTCCACCTGGAAGCCACTCACATCATCAGCTCATGTTATGTGGGTGAAGCTATAACTACGAATAAAAATCAACAAACAAAAGTTACAAATAAAAAATAGTCAGTGCAATTCTTCGTAACAAAGGATCACTTTCTCTGAGAGAAAACAAAATCACAAATTCAGGAAGACTTTTTGAGATGTGTAGAAACATTTCTCCATGATAAGCGGTATGGACGTCAGCGTCCACGGTGGCTGCAGTGCATTCGTCAAGCTGGCCTCTGCACAACACGTTCAAAGGATGAACCGGGGTTACCGTCTCTCACTTACACGTCCATTATACGTCTGTTCACATTCTTCAAATCCTTTCATCAAAATCTCTGACTTTACCAAAGCAACTCACTCTTCTCACATCAATAGCAACATTTACATGCACCCCAACGATCCGTTTAGAATTGGATCGATGGCTCAATCGGACTGAAAAGCCTTCATGTAAACGATTCGACAGAGTTCGATCCAAATAAAATTTAAAGGGGTGCTTTACGTGCTACATTGTTTCCTGTTGATTTGATTATTTCAGGTTTACAAACCTTAAACAATCCAATCAACAGGAACAAATTAAGCACAACTATTTTCTCGGACGGATTCGAAAATACGCAAAAATAAGTACTCATATGCATCAGTGATAGTTTTATGTCATACAAACCTGTGTATGTTTATTTACATGTTCCGTCTTACAAACTGGTCAGTGGAGGAGACTGAATATTTCCTAATATTTGCTAAAAAAAAAATATATATATATATTTTTAGATATGTCCAGTTCTGAATGCGGCGACTGGGAACTGCGCATGCGCTATATTTTTGTTCGGAATTAGTGTAATGCACATGCAAACAAATAAGTTAGTGTAAACAGAGCTTCGAGAATCTGATTCGGACTGGATTCATTCCGATTAGTGCATGTAAACAAACCTATTGCAAATTCAGTCTCTGATGACATCACTTCCTTTCAACACTGTCGAGTTGGTGACATCACAGCTTCACCTGCTCTAATAAGGGACCATGGGGTGAATTCAAGAAGTTGCCAATTTTGCATGCTGTACCCAGCATGTGTTTTACTAACCACCCGTATTCCAGTTTAACCAGGCACAACATGCTCTGGTATAGCTCTGCGCGGTGAGTATCTAAAAGTCACGGTCATTCTTTTCAGAAACGCCTGCTTTTACGCAAATTTGTGGCTGTTTTAATTTGTGAATTGTTTTCAAACCATGCAAACAGTGCAAACACTATTTTAAGGTGGCATAGTTACATGTACTTTACCCTACAATGAGTACATGTTGTTAATTAATATTACTCAGTACATATTTGTGTAATTACAGCGTCACCTTAAAATACAGTAAAGACTGTCCTCTGCCCATCCCTAAAGGAACTAACTTTCAGGCATGTGTTATAGGCACCATTTCTGCCTGGGACTTTTTTTGCAGGTATTGTTGTGATCTTTACATATGATTTGTGTCAAGAATAAGGGGCCGTTTACATGACAACGTTTTCAGCCAAAAACGGGAGACTTTTTATGCGTTTTGCCTGTTCGTTTACACGACAATGGCGTTTTGGGGACTGAAAACGCATATTTTGCAGTATTTAAGTGCAACTTTTTGAAAATGCCACCGTTATAATTTCCGTTGTAAACACCCAATATGGGAATCTTTGAAAATGGTGACGTCATGCGCGTGCGTAGTACGTGTTAGGTATGTAGACATGCGCAGTACGTTTTGATTTTAAAGGCAAGCGCGAACAAACATATACACAACAATGGCGGAGTATATGGTAGTGTTGTTGCTGCTCAAGAGTTTGCTAACGCATCTTCAGCAAAGTGTGGATTTACTTCACCAATATTACAACCAACAGCGGAGACGCATCATATACAACATATAATCGTCACTTCCCTACAGGTGTTGTTTACTAACAAGGTGACAGCGCCAACTACTGGCCTGGCATACGTAATACAGCATTTTTGGCCGTTTTCGCGGATATGTGTAAATGTGAATCGTTTTGAAAACGTTGTCCTGTATACGTGAAACTTTTTAAAAACGCAAGGTAAAAACTTTTCCGTTTTTGACTACATCGTTGTTGTGTAAACGTAGCCTAAGAGCTAACTAGACATACATTTGTAGACAAACATTTTTAAACTTCAGAATAAAGCGTTTAAAGTTCTTCCACATATACGTACATAATCATAAATACTTCTTGCTTTGCAAGCTCAGTTTCACACGCTGTTAAGTTCTGAAACACAACTAAATATCACAAGTACATGTTACATTCTCACGGGAGCTACAGTGGACTAGCATACTTTTCTCTTCCAGGTCAATTTCTGTCATGGCAGAGCAACAGTTTGAAGAGAATCTTTCTGAGCATGTTTATATCCAGCTATCTGCATAATAAAACATTTGGATTAATGGTGCAGATATTTGATGGAAACTCTGTTTGTTTCTGCCACAGTGATACAAAAATGCAATGGTTTTGCTTTGCAGCATTTGCGTGTGCAGTTGCGTATTTGTGTAGAGAATGTTTCTGTTTGCAATGGAACAAAACGTCTTTGGCTGCTTGGAACAACATGACTTATTGGTCTTGGCCTATTTTATACCATGTAAGCTGGCTTAAACTGTCTTTCTGAGGCTTGCATTAACTTTCCGCAATATTTCATTTCTTTCTGTCACCAACCCCTATGCAAAAACGCTTCATTTGCGCCAAACTCGAAGTTCATTTGCGACAACTGTTCGCCAGAAGTTTCCAGCTCTTCACCAGTCTTGGTGTACAATATCATGGGTTTTATATATTACCAAACAAACAATATCCGTATTACTGAGGGAAACAAAATCAACAACACCAACAACAACAAATAAAACAGAAGTGTTGGTTTGAAATGAATGGAACAAGGGATTTTCTCTTCCGCTTGCTTCACATATAGACACATGTAGATCACGTACTTCCAGTGTTTGCCAAACTCACATCCATAGAGTGATGAGCGGGTGATGTGACACATGCCGACAGGGCTGTTTCCAGCACAAGTTCACACATTCAGATGTGTGTTGTGGTTTGTGAGAGTTTGTAGAAATTACTCTGTTGTACCTCGAAACCCTGCGCAGCACGTGTGTGATTGGGTTTTAAATTACTGTGTGTTTGTTTGAGTGAATGCGTGTTCTCGGAAATGGAGCTGATCGGTTCCTAGCTGCACTTGCAGGACTTGACAATCATGTTGGAGAGCTGCTCGATTTTGGGGTTTTTTCCGATGTAGTAAAGGATTGTGAGGGGTTCCAGATCCTGAGACACACAGCAAGGAGATGCGGACGCTTCTGGATTGATGGTGTTATAGAGGCCAAGGATCTGAAATGGGACATGAAATGCACTTATTAAAACCATATGTAATTCATTGCTTGACAACTTTTAAAAAAAGCAGTACCTAGAAGCATTATATCTAGAATTAGATTAACTCCTCCCAAAATGAAAACTAATGATAAATGATAACTGAAGGTTTTGTCTTACGTTGCTGTGTTGGGTGTCTGCGCTCCACAGATACGGACAGGCTCCCGCACAGAAGTTGGCGTTATAACCTTTGGGTTCGTGGATCCACCTCCAGCCCAGATCCTTCTTGAAGTCGATGTAGAGAGAGCGTAAACAGCAGTTGTCCTGCACATTCCTGTGGGATGATGGGAGACAAACACAGCTGATGTATGACACGCAACTTTCTTTGTTGGCACATTTTTGGTACACTTTCAAACTACGGTATATGCACATAAAAATTCATACTCTTATAATTGATAATCAATATGTATTTTGACAATTAAAATTAGAAATAACTGCAGTAGCAAGAAATAACTGCAGTAGCACTATGCAAGTATTCCCATGAGCACACAGATAAAATGGTAACATTTAAATTAACTATTAAAATTCTATTTAACATCACTGAACCAGTCTACAATATATACATTAAGTTATACTGTACCAACAAAACTCTTTTTGTGGGGGTTAAATCAGGTAGAACTAGCTGTTTAAGGTAAGTTGCTACTTTTTACAGTGTAGTTTTACATGTACATACATTTTTCTACCATTAAATCCCTCAGTAAATTTAGCTTAAGCAGAATGTTTTGTTTTACAAATGCAGATGTAGCATATATAGTGATGGTATATGCTAAATGTGCAGAATTCAGAATAGAGTTAGGCTAGAAATGCCTTCAAATTTCATTTCAATTCTTGAACTAGAGAAAAGCAGATGAATTAGATAAAAATCATACAACTGCTCTCTCTCTCTCTCTCTCTCTATACAGCGTTTGATTTTTCGTGAGACGTGAGAGTAAATGATGACAGAATAAAAATTTTTTGGGTGAACTATCCCTTTAATGTTTTTATTATTATTATTATTATTATTATTATTATTATTAATTAAATGATACTCTAAATAAGAAACTAAATCTGCCAGCAGGAGGCGGTAAATGTCTTCATTCGATTCGTTCAAACGGCTGATTCATTCAGGAATGAAGTAAATGGCTCTCTTTATGAATGGACTACTGAATCATTGATTCACACGATTCGTCAAAACGTGTATTCATTCAGAAACTAAACACCGCTGTGTTGCAGGGAGACGCACAACAATTCTGCTATGGCTTTAAAGGTAATATATTCTTTGCAAAAACACATAATATTGTGTTTAAAATATAACACAATATCAACTTCTTATTTACTGAACTGTTGTATAAAAACCTATTTAAACTTGTGATATTCGGGACAAAATCAGCACTCGTGTGATATTGCTCTCTTTCTGCTCGTGTGATATCGCTGATCATGTGATATAAATATGAGACAAAAACACACAGGAGCATTCTTGCCCCAATATCTTGAATTTTAGAGCATAACTGCATTTATGCTCATATTTGTCAACAGTCAACTTTATGAAATGTAAGATGACGTACAGGTCTGGGGGCGGGGCCAGTGCGTAACTGCGTTCAAATATTTTAATCGCGTTATTTTTTCATAACTAATTAATTAAGTTAACGCGTTAAACTGGCAGCCCTAATATATATATATATATATATATATATAATTATGTTTAGTAAGTTACTTTTTTAATCAATTAATGGACTAATAATCACATGTAAATTTTCCGATACTCATGTTTATCATTACATGCTTTTGTGCTTATAGCTTATTATATTATACGATCAAAAGATTACATTTTTGATCTCAATATTTTCTTCTAAAGTAATCTGAACTTAATGTGTATGGTAAAAATAAGATATTTTCTGATGGCTGCTAATTTGTTTACAGTATTGAAATTAGTTAATCAGTTAAGAAAACTGAGTTATACATATCAAAAAATGAAAAGGAATAATTCGTCTAATTTAACTTGCAAAATGTATATTGGATTAATCTAATTTCTCTGTGGCTCATTCATTTCTAATTCATGGCTAAAATAAATTTAAGCATTCATATGCATTTAATATTTTGTACTACACAGATTTTTGAACAGACAAATGCTCTCTAGAATGAAAGTATCCCTCCCTCTAATATAATATATCTTGCATCTGAATAGAATGTAGCAAATCATGGCTCACAGCTGTCTAATTTCTATTAACAAAAAAAAGAAGAAGAAGGGATGAGTCCTTCGAGACGTCCCACCCAAACCTTCTATTCCAACAGGAAATTTGTGTGATTTCTTAAAATCCTGAATTCTGGCCAACACTTCTAATCAGATCAGTCCACTCGATGTCAATGTCGATGTTTTTTTTTACGATTTGGAGACAAATGTCTGCTAGTTTCTCAGCTTGTTAATACTGGATGCTATGATGGAAGCTGATATGTCAGGAAATATAAAATTAACAGCACACTGGTATAATGTGAGTGAAAACGTGATTGCGACAGCAATTGGCTGGACGAGCGAGAATACAGATGACTTTTATTAAAATTCAATCGAGCCACTTTTATTTATATTTTAGCTTTAATCCAACAGTGAAAAGTTTTCCAGTTCATTGATTAAGTCGATTCTGGATTGATAGGTGGTCCGGTCCGCTTTGATACACGGCCCGCCGATTGCATAAATCTGGACTGAAGTCTGGCTGCTTTTAACTAATGACAGATGAGCTCTATAGACCCCAGAAGCACTGTGCTGTGTTAAACATTCCGCTGCGGTTCAGATGCAGACTGTGGGAAAAACTCAGTTTGTGAGGAGGTGGTACCTGGAGCAGAAGGCAGCGTCCAGAGCGCGTTTCTGTCTGTGGCTCTTGTGCTGCGACTCCAGCCGGTATGATGGGAGCAGCATCAGCAGCAGGTGTGGAGACTGACCGCTGTGACGGCGCTTTTTAAACATCTTCAGATCCCCTCCGTGCACAAAGCTGTCATCTATACCTGTGAACCGCGCAGAAACCAGGCAATGCGTTAGACTGTTTGCATCAGCAAGCTACGACATTCCTGTATCTCAAACAGTAGAGCAGTACAGCAAGTGTTGGAGTTTGTTTTACAAGAAACTACTAGTTCAGTCTTTCTACTTCAAAATTTCATGTTTAATTCAATGCATTACTTTTTAATTTCTTTGTAATTATTTGTGAAATTGACTAGCAATTTCTGACTGAAAAGAGTTTCTAAAACAATTGTATTTTATTCAGTGTAGGCTCAATTTACAGGGAATGCATGAACTAATTACTTGTTTACACTGAAAAAAAGTGAAATGACCATGACGTTTATTTAAAGGGCTTTTAAAAAAAATTTAAAAAAATAAATCAAGGTATTAATTTTAAACCTATTTGGTTAAGTTTGTCTAAACTAAAATATTTTTCATTAATATTAAAACAAAATGTAAGGTTTAAATCTAAACCATAAATATAATTTGAGAACTAAATTTGGCTCTAACAATTTAGAGAAATGTTGTTACTTAACTTAGTTCCAAAGTATCTTTTTTTTTTCTCAGTGTACCTTAAATGCAGTGTAAGTCGCTTGGATAAAATTGTATTAATGCAATTAACCATGAGAGGCTGTGTGTTACAGTGATTTTACTATGACAAGTACAGTAGCTTAACTAAAATTGGGGGGAAATCATTATGAATTACCCATAAACATGCTGTCATGCACACAACATATGGAGTATTTCAGGAACATTAGATGATATTAATAATCATAAAGAGGTTCATTAAAACCATTAAATCAATTTTCATTGAACTGTGAACCTGTAACTTTTAGGATTAATTAAATATTGTTTGAAAAAATATTATTATATATTTTATTATTATTATAAATCCTTGTATTGTTATTATTTTCATACTACTACTACTAATAATAATAACATTTTATTATTATTATTATTATTATTATTATAGGATCAGCTTCAACATGTGTCCATCAAACTTCTTCAGTTAAAAGCATTATGTGACTAGAAGCTGGAATCTAGACAAAGGGTGGAGACGTTCAAATATAAGCTAGTTTTCATTTGTTTAACTTTTTTTTTTTTTTTTTTTTTTTTTTTTGGTTACTACATAATTCCCATGCCTCCATTTGTGTTGTTTCATAGTTTTGATGACTTTATTATTATTGTAAAACGTGACAAATAGGCCTCATCTAGAACGAGTAGGTGTGTCCAGACTTTGGCCTGCTCGTGTGCTTTTAAGTGCACTTTGTTTTGAATTGATTGCTGCAATTCATGCCTTAATCAGATCCAATCCTTTCTGAAAAAAAGTAAATATATATATATATAAATCAAATCTGATGGACTCTAGGAAGAAACAAAAACATTGATTTCCATTTTTCTCTTTTCCTTTCAACTCCCAACACACACACACACACAAACACACACACACACACACACACACAGAAACAGCCCTCACTCACAAACGAACAGACTCACACCCCCACCCAAAGCCACCTGCAAAGCGCGCCTCCAGCTCCTCGCTCTTGTTGGGGATGATGTAATTATTTGACGGCACAAATGTGCAGCAGGGACAGTGCAGGCTGATCTTGAATCCATTGTTTCTGTCTGGTGGGAGAAGAAAACAGTGAGAAACACACACATGCACAGCAAGGTCAGATAATCTACAGCAGATAAATGAGCTCATCTCTGGATCTGGCCCCTGATGCAGATCTAGCCCACTCCCATCATCCCTCAGGAGTCACACACAGCGTCACTGCCGTCTCTCAGCTCCAGCATTCATCACAGTCACTCCAGTCATGCTGAAGATCTGCTGCTGCGGCCTGAGCTCTATCGCTCTCCTGCGTAATGTGATGGAGAGCCGCTGGGCTCGTGATGTTATGAGCTCATGTAGGCTGACGATGATCCTACACCTTCATCATTGCTTTTGCTCTGGCCTGTTACTACTGCTATTCTTGTGCACTTTGAAAAGCCATGGTGAAAACTCACTCAACGCTGCATGCACGAAGGATTCGAGCTGAGAATACAGAAATGGCTAAATCCATTACATTTACAGTACTGCGCAGATGCTTCACAACAACTTTTGTTTTAAGATGGTTATTTATATATTTTGCTTTAGTGTGTCATTCGGAAATATTGATTGTAGGTTTTAGGTTTCCAAATACACTTTGAATGAATATACTTTGTCAAGTTTCCTAAGTGAATATAATTAAATGTGAATTGAATGTAATATTTTTGGACTTAATTGCAGCTAAATGATAAAAGTATTATCGTTTCTGTTGATTAAGTCAGTCTCTTTGTATTAAGTTAACTTATTGGTTACTTACCTTTAAAGGGGTCATCGGATGCTTTTATGCACTTAAGTTGTTTGAACTGAAATGTTTGAACTGAAATTGTGTGCACACAATCACCCTATAATGATAAAAATCTACCCAGTGCTTTTTTTTTTAAATCTCGTTAAATCATTTCCCCTTTCTCAAATCAAGCTGTTCTCAGATTCTTGGCTGTGTGATGTCACACAGACCCAGGCCCCTCCCACGATTGTTGATTGACACTAGCGTTTTACCTTAGACCCGCCCTGAGTGAGCTGCCATCAGTCCGCCATTGTTTCACCGCCGGAGCAGGTGTAGACAAGAATGGCTCCCAATCGATTGAGGTAGCATAGCAGTCGTCATTTACTCCCGACATCTGAGACGCAGTGGATTACCTTTGTTTTTGAAGGGAATGTGCCCCCCG